TACACCACTAAAACACCTGTGGAAAACTGACTTCATACATCCATGAAAAATAACCTTGCGACCAATTGGTTCAAAATAATAAAAAAATGAAAAAATAAAGTATTGGAAAAGTGTATATCATTTACTGTTCAAACTTTTTGGGGCCCCTGGATATAACTACTATTACTATTATAATAATATAATTGTTGTGTGTGTGTGTGTGTGTGCGTGAGTGTGTGTGTGTACACACACACACACACATTTAATTTAATTTTTTTATGTCTTAACACATTTCATTTATCTTTTGCAGTCAAGATGTCTTACACAAGTATCATGCCATGGCTGACATCTCAAATGTAAAGGAGGTAAGGAAAATTCCCTTTTTCTTCCACATAGACATGTAATAGATGAAATTAATCCTTTGATTTCAAAAAGGTTAACTATAATTTGATATTAAAACCAAACTAGTACAGTATCTTTAACTACTGCATAGGCCAAGCAAGGGCGTTGCCATTGGTGGTTTACAGCTGCAAATGTGAAACCCTCAGCTGTTTTTGTATTATAATTACTGATTTCATCAGCCTGCTATTAGTGTTTACCAAGGCTCATGCCATGGCAGGCTGCCAGTTTATGAAGTTCATCACTCATTGACCAGAGGAGAATTTAGATCTTTTCAGAAAAAGGGTTTAGTGTACTGATTTTAGTGTCTGATCAAGGGAAGGGCTGTGTAACAAAGTCAGCAACCGTGGTTTTCTCACTGATTTGACCACAAGCCTGTCTGATTTTCAGTGGAAAGATGTTTCTGTGAAAATAACTGATAGTATGAATGTTGTTTTCACTCGTTTAAGAAGCTATGCGTGTATTAAAGGTTTCCACCTTACTGAATATTCTATCATAAAGCTTCAGGTTTATTATTATAAAATTGGAGACTTTATTAGTGTTATTTATTTTTTATAATATTAAAGTAATCAAAATAGTGAAATTACACAATTAGAAGTATGGGAATAATGTAGTGGGCAAAAAATGCTTGGCACACTCTGGTTATTCATCAGCTTCATGAGGTGTATCCTGGTAGTCCTCATGTACGTATGCTGGACACTTGAGCGCTTTTCCTTCACTGTCGGCTCCTCCAACACATGCAAAAGTTGTAATAAATTAATTAATAATAAAGGTAATAAAAATAATATGCAGGAAAAAAATAATTTAGTGAAGTGTGTGAAAAGTGTGGATATATATTTTATACATAGCTGTAAGTTTATGTTTTCCTAATTCCAATTTAACAAATTTGGGGTTTCTTTGGCATTTTTTCTTCTTCTGCTGTTTTTACCCTTTGGTTTCAAACTTAAATTGGAATATTTTTTTCTCTCCACACTAACATGCCAGAAAATGCTAAAATTGCTAAACATGTTTGATAAACAAGTGAACACAATAAAACTACATTACATCCAGTCAATGAATGTAGATGTTTTAAGTTTCACAGGAAAATAATATTTTTTATAGATGTTAGGACAATTGTATCTTTAATTTGTTGTCACTTTTTAATTGTTATAAATGTTTGTTTATTATTTTTTGTAATTTCTATCACTTTTTTGAATTGTAGGCCTGATTTGCAGGCCAAAATAATGTTTTCTTTCTTTCTGTTACCTTTTACGTATCTGCTGTCATTATTTATTTTTTATATAACTTTTTCACGGTTTAAATAGGCTATGGTGATAACATGCACTGACAGCGTGCCCGATTCAACTATATTTGTATATCGCACAGTAACATATTTTTGTCACCAGCATTTTGTCATGGTAAACATAATGGCTCATGACGAAGCCATAAAGTAAAGGGAGTTCAAGGTGTTGTTTGGAAAATAATTCGCGTGCGCTCGTGTAAATTGCGACCGCTGTGTGTTAATGTGCGTTTCGTCATCTTATATGCAGCCGTGATTTTTGAGCTGAAGTAGGACGGGGCTTTAGAAAGATCCATCCGATTTAACCCTCGGGCCAAACTCACCTCTCCCTTCCCTTTCGCAAACATCAGCAGAAATATCGGTCTGACCAATGGCTCTTATTCTGGGTTGTGCTTTACGAGTAGAACAGTCTGTACAAACACACTCTTACTCCAACCTCAGCGCGCGCAAAGCCAATCTCAGTGGCTGCAGTAAGTGGTGTGTTTTTCTTAATAGTTGTCTGATTGGACAAACCGTATGTCAGTATCTTGGCTTTTTCCCCCTCCGCATGGGACGTGTCCTTGTTTTTTTCTTCTTTTCTGAATCGAAGTAGGGAGCTCAGCAGGTCGTGTGTTAGAAACGCAGCAGCTTTACGCACAAACTTGTCGCACGTTAAGTTAAATAACCAAAAAGAGCACAAGCATCATAATAGCTTTGAAAAATATCTTGTGTATTACAATGATAATGTAGGAGAAGAATAACGTGACCATGTACGTTATCTCCAGTCGTGCAAGTCAACACGCGCGACCAAACAATGTAAAGTCAAACAGCGGTTCCATTTGACAGAATGAATGGTTCGCGCTATATAGCTGAAAACACTGTTTATGAAATATATTACAGCTTACTCAAAGCATACCGGGTCAGTTGCAGTATTTTGCAGTTTCTTTTTTGACATGCAATCTCAGAATAATATTCAGCACTGAGCTTCTTCCTATTTATTATTTTTCATATAAAATATTACAGGCAACACATTATTTGAAGACAATCTAATAGGAATCTCACATTTTAATTGCAGTTTAATTAAAACTCAGTTTAATTGCAGGTTAATCATATCATATGCATTACAGTAGGTCAGAAAATAATTAAACTTTTTAAAAGCATTTTGCATCCTACTTTGTTTAATAGCACAAAATAAAAAATAAAAAACTGGGCAGTTTAAATTAAATAATTTCGTATTTGTGTGCAGGTGTTTATATTGTGTGTGGCAAAAAATAAATAAATAAATGGTTTAGGGTGTGCAAGGCCAAATACCAGCACATACCAATTTAGCACTTGAGAGAGATGTATTTAACAGTTAAATAAAATTGTTGTAAATGTATTTTGGTTATTAGCGCAACTTAGAGTCAGTTTGGGGCTTTTGCTATGCAGGGTGTGAGAGGTGTATTTAAGTTTCCCCTAAGACTGTGTTAACATTCAGAGGTTTTTCTGCACGATATAATGGAAAGGAATCAGGTGAAGGTGTCCATGTCATTATGGTTTAATCATCTCATTTATAAAGCAGTACACAATCCACATCAATTTCTTAATAGGCTCAGTTTGCAACCTTGCACAAATTTTTGAAAAAAAAAATCTTATAAAAAGAAGTACATACAGAAAATGCACAAATGCCACTTTGGATAGTCTTAAACGACAAAAAGCTTGACATAAATAAGTTAGTATAATTTCCTCAGTGTTTTTTATCCTTTTTTTTCTTCTTTACAAAGCAGTATGCACAGGTATAGTTCAATGTTTTTCACACTTGCTGTGTAACGTCTTAATTTAGTTTTTTTTTTTGCCGGTTTATACATATTTTTGTCATAGTGCCATGGCATGTTCAACATGAAAGCCAAATATGTTGTGGCAAAAAAGTGGCTTCATGTTGTTCTTATTTTGTATGGCCCAGTGTTAAAGAAAATAATAATAATAATACATATATATAAACATTATGCTACACAGCAATGAATAGAAAAACATCAAATTGACCAAAAAAATGCAAATCAATTGGTCACTACAGTTGCACTTTATATATTTTTTTTGATGTGTACTCAGTAGGATTTGAGAATTTATATAATTATGCCAAAATAACAAAAGAAATAATTTAAATAAAAGAAAATTAGTGGAATAACCCAGGGATATAATACTGTAAAGAAGTGTGAAAACCTTAATACCACACTAGGAGTCACAGTCCCTTCAGAGAACACAATTGACCAGGTGCTGTTGGCTGGTAAAATCATATTAAGTACCAATAAACATGAACGACATTAATGCAGACAGTGACATTTGTGCAGCTTAAAAATGGCCAAGATTGTGCTGCTGTAGCCAGCCAAAACTGAGACAATGGGATTGTTTAACCTAATTAAAGGGACATGCTGTGTGTGTGTGTGTACATAGATATTTACTTTAAAAGGGTTAATTTTAGGGAGACGTTTAAAAACTGCACAGCAATTCTTCAAGTCAAACGCACTCCATTTATAAATGATTGTTTTTTTAATCTTAATATTACATTTAAATGTGCTACATATAAAATGAAAGTATATACATAGGTAGTAAAAGAACAAATGAAGCAACTCCAATTGCACACTGCTACATTATCTGCTTTTGAGGCAAATATATTTTGTCGAGTGCCAAAACTTTAGTGTAAAAATTCAGTGCTTATACAGCCACTCCAAGGCTCGATTTGTATTTTTCAACTGCTGTCCCTGTTTACTTCATAAAGCTCTTGAAGTATTTGATGGAGAAAATAGGCGTTTTCATCTGTCTGCAGGGAACAAAAAAAGTTGATTAGTAAAGGGAATAACATGTCGAACGCGAGTGCAAAAATGTCACTCAGATAATCACAATACATGCAATAACTTCAACGGCAAAATATTTCAGAATGCATTATAAAGCACAGGGAATGGAAAGCGAACAATTTTGCGCGCAAGTAAATGCATGCATGCATTGTGAACCCGGACCCCCTCCTCCTCGCACCCGCACACACACACACACACCCTACAAGAGACCTGCTGACGTGTTACTACAATGTTGTGCATTTGAGTCGACTGTCACTCGCGCGGTGACAGAATGTTTTGTTTTAATACGCCAGGCCGAACAGTTTCGACTCTGATCGCGTGGAGCAGCATCGACAAGACACAAACATTATTAACGTGTAACAATAAAACAGGCACAGCAATAAACACGAACAAACAAACAGCGACGTTTAACATTTTTATACGAAGTCATACGCGTTTACAAGTTCCACGCTAGACCAGTACGCACGAAACTCACTCTCACCTTTGTTTACGTTTTGGGTTCTGACTTGCTGGGCGCTTGCTCGAGCGAACTCGTCGTATCCGGACAGCGGTTCTCCTCGGTCGCGTGCACGTTGGGTCTTTTGCTTTGGCAAGGAAGATCTATTGGAAGAATGAAGACTGTGTTAGAATAGTCTCGGAAGCAAATGCAAGCGGAGGGCAAAGCGTTTGTCCCCCCGAGATCAGCGCGTAAATAGCACTGCGTAGTGCGCTGTCACGAACTCGCAAAACATTTACCCCGATCCTCTGTCGACGGTCTTTTCCTCGGCGTAGAGAGCGCCGTTCGGCAATCCGTCCGACTCCCGGTCTCCGTGCTGTCAGAGTCCCCCTCTACGCTCTCCAGGGAGGGAGTTGTCGTCAACAAATAATCGTGGTTCCCGTTATGGTCCACAGTCCCGGTAGAGGTAACGTTAGCCCGGTTTACGTGAGGCGGTCTGATGTAAAACTCCGGGACCTCTTTGGCGTCCACCTCTTGCCACTCGTAGTTTCCCGGCGCGAGCGGCTCGTTCTTGGCGAAGTCGTAATTCCATTTTTCCTTGGACGCTTTCTCCATATCCCGCATTTGGTCCTCGACGTCCCTGGCGAACTCTTCGCGATCCACGGAGCCGAAGAGATTTCGGCAGACCGGCGGTTTGGCGTGGTCCGCCTGCCTCGCGTCCACCCTCTCCAGCGTGGGACTTCCATTGGAGACGCGCACTTTTGACATTTTGCACATGAAAGTTTGTCCGAGATTCGCAGCCGCAATCGAGCCAGACGCAGTCTAACTAAAAGCCAACCCTCCCAAGAAAGCCGAGTGAATCGCAGAGCGCACGCATAACAAACGCGCGAATGCGTGTAGAAAGACTAGAGCGCGTGGAAAACAAGTCATGAAAACAGCGCGCGGCTCCGAACACGTCTCGTAGTAATTCCGAAGAAAAACAGACGGGTCATTCGAGTAGGCGAGCACCCAATATGGCGATCGCAAGTAAACTGGCTAGGGAAAAAAAGATTGACAGCAAAGGCTATTTAAACAGAAGACGCCTTTGATTGGCCGGCGAGGCACGGGGCCCGCCCACCGTTGAAAAACGATACAAACAGTAGAAACTCGCGCTCCCTTCAGTTCAGTGTTGCCATGTCCTCTTATTATAAACCACTGTGGCCTAGTTTATTCCTGAATGGTTATAAAATATGGTAGAATAAGCAGTGGTTCTGAGCCTCTGCAGACTTCAAATTAGACAAAACACTGAGATTCAAAACCTCAAATCAAGTTGATGGGAAAAAAAGTTAAAATGCCATGGAGATTTTTCTAATAAAATATATTTGATTGGCTAGAAATTGGTTAAAAAAATGTGTCCAGTAAATCAGTGATGACTGAAATAGTCGTTTAAATTGATTGATTAAAAAGTATGGGAGGCCAAAAGAACATTAACTCCTAAACCTTCTGGGATAGTGAAACGTAGATATTTGAAAATAAAGTATTTGAGTTACCTTTTTTTAATTGAAAGAAAGTAGGAGTACCCTTAAAGGCAGGGTAGGTAAGTTTGAGAAACTCCCTCCCCTCTGGGCTCCTTCCAAAGCCATGCCTCCAAAACACATGATGCCGACCGCTCAGCTGGAGGACGGGTTTACCAGCGCCGAGCATGGAGTGACATCACCTTTTTTTTTTGCCTGCGCTGACTGTATATGCAGGTACAGGTGGCACTGGGAATTTTGACTGCTCTTTCTCTGGCATAATTGTGAGACTTCCGGCCGGTATGTGCTCTTTCGAAATGAGCGAGGGAGAGTCGCCCAGCCAATCATTACATTAGTTCCGAATGGAATAAGTAGCTGTGTTTATTGCAGCCCTGAGAGGACTACAGACACTTGATTTGTATACTCTCCAGAGTACTTACATTTTAGATATGTATTGGTATATAAAGACAGTTTAAACAAATTTGGGAAAAAGTGTTAAATATATTAAAATGTTTCAATTTGGAGATCCGGCAACACAGCTGCAGATGGAACATTTGTGTAAATCACATGAAGGTATTAAAAAGATGATAGTAAAACTTTATAATGCACCTAGCAAGGTTTAGCTGTGTCATAAAGCTGTAATAAACAATATTGTGTGATTGAATAAGACGAGAACATTATTACGATAATGAACTACTCCCTCAGTGTGATCTGTTATCTCCTTGCCAAGCCTGAGGTCATATTTGGCAGACGGCTTATCTCTGACAGACTTTGGCATTACCAATAATAAGTAGCTGAAATGTTCCAGCACCCCCTGCAGAATTTTTCAATAGTGTCTGTGTGAACATGACAAAATGTAATTGCTATAAACTTATATTGGTAGAATGAAGTGACTGTCATAAGGGTTTGGTAATGTCGTCTTAGCAAAAAGTTTATTTTGAGGAGAACTGTGTGAGAAATACATGGTTTTACTGCCATCTAGTGGGTGCAAGAAATCAGCTTTTTTCCCCTCTCCCCTTCCCATGATTAAGGTAGAGAGTTATAGTGGTTCCTGTAAGAATATTGGGCAAAAACTAAAGTTTTTGTTATGTAATTTTTGGCACAATTAAAAGGATTGGCTCTATAACCACTGCTGGTCATTGTCCTGGAAGCCGGGGGGGGACCCAGGCCCCGGTCCCCCCTTCTTCTTTCTTTGGGTGCTGTCTTCACTCTCCTCTTCACTCCAATCACCTTGGTCTCCATCCAGGTCTGGTCTCCTCTGCTCCATCCAGCTTTGGTCAGCTTCTCCTCTGCTCTTCTCTCTCTTCGGTCAGCTTCTCCTCTGCTCTTCAGTCAGCTTCTCCTCTGCTCCATCTTCTCAGAGATCTGGCTGGAATTGAACCAGCGACCTCTGGCATTGGGTGCCAGTGCTCATACCGCTGAGCCATAGATCTCTTACTATGTATGTGCTGGAACTTATACTTCACTACTAACCTGTTTTTCCCCCCTACTAAACAAGTAGTGTTCAAGTCAAGGTGATAAATCTGGAAGCATGTGGTGTAGGGGTATTGCCCATGTTCACAACAATTCTGCACTCCTCCAACAACAGGTTCAAATCTCATCTATATCATTTTAGCCATCTGTAATTAATCACAACCAATGATACAAATTAACATTATTTATTTCATAGTTGACATGGTATTAAGGCATAGTACAAGGCATTGAGTGCTATTGTAAAACTAAAAACACTCATCACAGAACACATTATTTCAATCAAAAGATGCTTTGTCACCTCCAGTTTGATTCATATAAATAGAAAAAGGACAACAGACAATTTCATATACCGTGTCTGGACAGAAGGCTCGCTAGTGTCCTCTGTTCATAACTGATGGCTAATAAATCAATCAATCAATCATCATGAGGACGACGTCTTCTGGACACTCTTCTTCCTCTGCACCTCATTTTGAACCTGCTCTGGAAACTGATGAAGGTGATCCCGCACACATGGCAAACAAAAGCGTTTGGTGTAGAACAGACTGCAGTCCTGTCATGAATAAAAAACAAGTTTATTGATTGCTTTGATTTATTTATATATAATATATCCTAAATATTACGGACTGAGTTTTTAGTTAACTGATAAATTCAATTCTTTCATTTGCAGAAGAGGAGAAATGTTCTACATAGTCACACACGTACCGTTCCCACACACACCGTCTTACTGCACAGACAGCACTTGGATCCTAAAACGAGGAACTTCTCTCTCTCCGGGCAGAAGGGATCCTTCATGCCGTAACATTCCTCCAAGAGCCTGCGGGACAAAGCACATCTCAGTCACTGACGTCATTTTTACACTCATTCAGCCAGACATGGTTCTGCAACTCCTTTGACTGTTCAAATAAGCACTCATTTCAGAAAAAACACCCCCCAGCGGCCAGCACTCGCATTTTACAGTACAGGTGACGGAATCCTGCTAATTATACATCAACATCATCATCAAAACAGAGCAGACCATGCATGCACTTCTTTAGAAAACTGAACGTTATATACATTAATCAGACACACGATCGCGAGACACAGGATTCAAAGTAGAACATAACATCACTACAATAAATATACACACACACACACTGCTGTCAAGTTCAACAACTGCAAAGTTTACATACATTTTGCTCAATTCATGACCTGGATTATTTATAAAGGTTCCAAACTGCATTAAATGTCACCTACGATTTCAAGGATTTCCCGGTCATTTGACTTTAAAATAGTTCAAGATTATTTACATTACTTTTACAATTTACATGGACTGTTTGTATGGAAAGCTGTTTTAACATTTAATCCCTTAAAAATGTACTAGTATCTATTTGCATGCTTGTTTTTTTAAATGTCACAAAATCATTATTTGGAACTGAAATATTGAGTAGAAAGATGGAAAACCTATGCTCCTTTTGGACAATATTTACCATTTTAGTGCTGTCCTGATTTACATCATTCATGAGCCCGTTCCATTTTAAATCTTGCTTTTTTGGATGCTAGTAAGTGTGGTTTGCCTTATGATGAAGGAAGGTATTGCCCCTAGTCTTGCACTGTGAGACTGTGTGTCAAATGTGCAATAAAACTTTGAAAAACATTTCTATTGTAAACATTTTTTTCAAATAATACCCATTTCTATATTCCATTACCTATTTATATTTCTGTTTATAAAAAAATCCTGATAAAAACACATAAGCAGCACAACCATTTTCGGCTAATAATAATTAGAAATATTTATTTTTACCCAAATCTACATACGAGTTCTGAAAGATCGTGTGACACTTAAGACTGGAGTAATGGAGCTTTGCCATCAGAGGAAAAACATTGCCTACATTTTACAATATATTCAAACAAAAAACTTTTTTTTTGTTGAAATTGTAGTAGTGTTCCACAAAATTACTGTTTTTACTGTATTTTCTATCAAATAAATGCAGTATTGGTGTGTATAAGAGACCTCTTTCAAAAAACCTTCCTGACCCTTACTGTGTATTTATATATTTTTACTTATAATATTTATTTTGGGGTATATTATTATTACTCACCTATATATCATATAACTTTGTATATATTTTTTATACTCTTTTATTAGTCATTGTGCAGTCAAATTAAATTATGTGGCGTTCAGTTGAAATATTAACATTAGTTTCTCAATTAAGGAGCAACCAGTCTGCGTACACGTCACACACGGAAGCGTCCGCGCCCTCAGATAAATTGGACATGGCTGTGGTTACAAGAGGTAAAAACAATATAAATACTGTTCGTTTTCTCACAAAAACCACTCGTTTCGTGTCTTAGGGCATCAATGTGTACTTACATTTACGAGTCATTAAATAATGTTTAATTTTGACTGCTCTTTGAGGAGGACCCCCTTCACCTCCATTGTATGACTGACAGACAACAACGGTTTTACCTAAAATTATCAAAACTGAAGATACTGTGGAAACAAAGACACCTACATCTTGGATGCACTGGAGGTAAGCTAAAACATATCAAAAATTAATTTCAAAGTGAACTATCCCTTTAAGATCAATTTCCAAAAGATGATTTTTTATTCCTCTTTTTAGGCAACTTTAGCATGGGGGTAATAACTTATTCACACCACTGTATTACTTAAATTAGCTCTTTGTTCTGCCTTAAAAAATGTACAGTAAGCTAATAATGTATTAATTTATGTACATTTCTGAAAAGCATAACTGATAACATCACTCTGAATAGTAAAGTAGATGCAATGCATTTTCTGTAAAGCTGCTTTGAAAACGATATTGTGAAAAGCGCTATACAAATAAATTGGAATTGAATTGAAAGAGTCTGGACTAGCCCACTACTCTTAGCTCTGCCTAATAATGAGTCGCGCTGAAAGCAGGCAGGCACGCAGTTATGTAGCTCGCGTTTACACTTGCGTGCATGGCGGGCCCGTGCCGCGGTTCGCGTGAATGTGAAAGCAACACGGACTCGGGAGCGCTTGTTCAGGAACATAAGTAACCTGCCCATGCGTTTTAGCAGATTATGATGCATTTAGTTAAATAAAACACATGTAAGGGATGATAGTGTTGATGATTTACCTTGGATACGCGAGAGTTGAGCCTGCAGTGTGTTCGCGCATTGCGCGTGGAAACAGGGCAACACATTTGGAAATCCACTGTCTCCTCAAAAGAGTCCGTTTGAAAGACACAATATATTGACCCGCGTTCTTATTTCTATCATGCGCCGTGCACGTTTGCGATGGCATAAGATGCACGCAAACTCAACAGGGTTCGATAGAATTGAGTGTGAAACCAGACCAACGCTGCGGAGGGCACCGGAAACAATCGCGCTCGCACTCGGGCTCGGACCGCAGCAAACGAGCCCACTGTGAAAGCTCCGTCACCTGCCTCCGCAATTTTTCATATCAAAGCAGTGAAGGCGGGCGGGAACGTGAAGGAAAATGATAGCAGATAAACCAGCAGGGCGCGCACAGCGCACAGACTGGTGTGTGGAGGTGAATTACAGTGAGCCGTTTGTGACGGGAGACCACAAATAAATAGCAGTCAATAGTAAAACGACACGTCGACTAAAAAAATTGCCGTCGACTAATTTGCATGGTCGATTACGTCGACTAATCGCGGCAGCACTAATTTTGATTAGGATATTTGTCTAAAAAGTTACTAGTAACTAAAAAAATAAGTACTAGTATCTTGAGTAAAGTTTAATTAAATACTAGTCACTATTGAAATAAGCACTTATCTAAAAAAAAATAACAACTAGTATCTAAAACCTATTCTAGTACCTTAAGAACAAGTAACTAATGGAATAGATATTAGTGTCTACAAAAATAAGCACTAATAGAATGAAAATAGCTACATTTAAGGATTAAATGTTCAAACGGCTTGCCATACTGTTCGCACATAATTTAACCATAATTAACATCATATACATAACCTCATGTCGCTGAAAACATAAATGTATGACTTTCTTCTGTGGAAGACGGAACTATTTTTGTATTTTTTGACAAATATTGCTAATCATTGACATTGAATGACAATAAATTGCACATTTCTCAATATCTCTACAAGAAAGTAAGCCACAGTTTTGCAACGGCATAGTGAGTAAAATGACACGATTTCCTTTTTTGGGTGACGTGGCAAGTCGTTTTCTATCATTATGCAGTTTGCCAGCACGATTAAAAGGTGAGGAATGTAATATTAGGCTATAATTTTATATTACATTACGTTCTATATACTACGTGCATGTGAAAATAATTGTTTATGGTTCATTGAACAAGCATGAAAAACATTGTTTTCAATAAAGATCTGCAAAGGTTTTTCGGATTTTACTAAATTATATTTACAATATAAAATCGTCCTATCTTTTCATACGTCACCGTGACATCATGGCAAATTAATACATGCGAGAGTTCTGCTCATATAATTACCATTATGGGTGCGTCATTGTATATCACTAACTACATTTTTCTTGCATATGGAGAGCATTGAGCAACTATTCTGTGCGCTAAGCGCAATGCAATTTCACTAATACTTGTGTACTTACACTATTGCTCTGGTGTTTGGCGGCTTCTGCCCGAAGAAACTGTACGGGCTGGACAACTCGCACAGCTCACAGGTGAACACGCCGAGAGCGGATCCTTCGCTCAAATCCATTCGCTCTAAAGCGCGGTCCTCAGGCAGCACAGTTCCTATACCCCGTTCAAACAAACCCTAGCTGTTTGTTTTGAATGAGCACGCGGTTCTCAAGGCACGCCATAGTGCTGTAACGTCACTACGGCGCGTCAAACAGGACGAGGACAGTCTCAAAACTTCCGGTTTTTAGTTTACGCTTGCAGTACATCAGAGTAGCCAGAGGATGGCGCCTGTAATAAAACACTTCCACGTTTTATTGTACGTTTTTTATAAACATTTTTTTATGAACATTATATTTAATTTCAAACTACAAACAATTCCACATCCACAACTGAAAATTAAATGTTTCATTAAAATCAAATAACTTAAATTGGCTTCTATAATCTTTGTTAAAATGCAAGTCTACAAAGCAATTTCTGATAATCAAGGGACTTGTAAATTGCATCAACAAGTAGATCTGGCTCTAAATGTGAAGAAAATTACAATTTTCCCTAAAAAAAAAAAAAAACTCAATAAAACAATAATTTACCAATCAAATACAAGTACTGAGTCAAAACACACAACACATTTGTACAATAAAATTACAGTTGGAGTGCTATACAGTGTACGATGATATTTCTTATACAAAATATTTTACAAATGATGTTCAATATACAAGCATTTCAAATGAGGTAACAAACAATCTGATTTATATGGCTCTCCCAATACATTTCATTCTAGCATTAAAACATGAAAAATCACCCCTTATTCAGGATAGGCAATTGCCTGTCCTAAATCTTTACTGTCGGAGGTTATTTGGCAGAAGCGGTGATGCGACGTCAACCGTTCTGGAAGTTACACTTGATTAGCAACGCCCCCTATATCTGACGCTCCGCCCTGCAAATATTACATTAAGGTGGAAAAGGAAAGCACCAGCACATCATCTCAATGTGGCCAAATGTGTCAAAAGCAACAGAAAAAACACATGAAAATGGCACTTTAATGAGCTCTCTCTCTCTCTATATATATATATATATATATATTTGTGTGCTTGTGTTTACTGTTTGCTTACTACACTTGAATACCATTCGCTTCATTGGCTCCTTTTACGAGTACACATTATAGGCGGAAAGCATGTATTGCACTTATTAGGGGACTCTAAGCATCGTCCTTGTAAAGGTCAGTTCCCTATTAAAGGTTAGTGCAATATTAATGAGCCTAAACTTACACTGGCTTTGCCCTATAATCTCCCAGCAGTGCTTGATCCAGAAGCAGGTACACACCCCAAAGATGTTCCAGCCGCTCTTCCTCCCCCTTGGAGCCGAACATTCATCAACTCAAAGGCTTTCCTCATCTCCTGTCCCGAACACAGGGATCTCTCGTGCACCGGCGCTTCCTGAGAACGGGAACGCTTCGAGCTCTCAGTACATGTCTCTGTAGATCTCCTGCAGAAGAGGATGGAGTGAAGCATCTTCTGTCTTCTTGATCTCCTGGACCAGCTCTGCGTGCTCTGTCACCAGCTGCCGCAGGTCGGCCAGTTTCTGCAGCAGCTTGGGAAAGAGCAAGCCGTTGTCGGGGTGGTTGGACAACAGATGGAGCCGTAGGGCGTGAACTATGCTCTCCTGGATGTGCTCAATCTGTGACACGTCACTCAGTCCTGGACGGTCTGCCAATAGAGATCCAGACAGAGAGAGAGACAAAAGAGACATGTCAGGATGTCAAAAGCACCGTTACTTTGGTACCAAGTCTGAATGAAAACTTGAAATGACTAAATTGAAAACTTATTAAAGGCTACATGCCATTATTTTCTCTTAAATTATTCATATTTCTAGTAATACTAAACTTTTGAAATAAAGGACATTGACTTTAACTTCGGTAGTGTGACATCCCTAGATTTATCTGTACAGTGTGTCTACAGATATAGATGAAACATTTATTGTTCAAGTGTCATTTTGCTAACGGTGTCTCTCTTTAGCATATAGGTTAAAAGAAAAAAAGAGAGTCAGAGCGGTTCTCCAGGAAGCTGTGGTTTGAGGTACTGTCTGCGTTTTTGGTCCCCGCCGCACACAACCACGGGTCCGAGGGTTGCTGCTGGAACCGGAGCCGGCGGAAGAGGAAACTGTGGTTATTTGTGCTATTCCTCAGAGAACAAAATCACCATCTCACTCTCTCTGACCATTATTATGTCTCTCAAAAGCTATTCGCTGTGGGACTCCAGAGGTGACATAAAAAACAACCTGAACCACAACTAACCTACTAACAGGGAGGTGAGATATGTAGGATGCTCATGAACAGGGGTACAGGGGAAGTTTAGGTTCTAATTTAGTTTCAAATTTAAATCAATGTATAAGGACCCCTTGTGACCCCAGGACCCCAGTTTAAAAAACCCCGCTCCAGTTGGAGTGAAGCATGACATAAACTGCATGACATCAATTTCATGTCAAGTATTTCATTTCTGAGTAATCCCCATTTTTAAAACTTTTCATTTAGATTTACACTGACTCTATTTCACTTCCCGTTGCTCTCCCTGCGCCTCACCTCCGCAGCAGATAATGGCAGCCACAAACAGCGCCAGGTCGCTGTCGTCCAGCTCAAGAGCGTTGAACCTCATGGCGAACTGAAATTTGGGCTCCATCATGTCACTGAAGGGCTTGCGTAGACTCTTCAGAAACTCGCGGGTGATGAAGCCTCCGCCGCGAGCCACCAGCAGCCCGTCTTTATTCATGCAGGAGGCCAGCAGGGCGAAGAGCGCCTCGTACACGCCGTACTTCAGCAGAGTCACCTGGTCGTTGAGGTCCAGGGTGGCGAAGCCGGGCAAGGCCTTGGCGAACTCCGTCAGCTCCGTGACCGTCGCCACCGAGGCGTACTGACAGAACAGGAAGAGCCGGGCCTCCACTTCTCTCTGCTGCAGAGTGGAGGTGTCGCCGGACGCCACGTTGCCCAGCAGCTGGGTGAGTAGATTCTGCTCTGCGTGCTGGAGAGAGTCCATGTCGTGGATGACGAAGGGCTTCATTGAAGGACAGAGAGAGGACAGTCAGAGAACAGGTGTGCGTTCAGCTCAATAACTGAGTAGCTTGTGCAATTAGCGCTCTCCGTTTTTTTGTAATTAGCAACCGATGCACTCTTGCTCAGTGAAGCTACTTTAAATCCACAGCTTGCCGAGCTACTCGGTTTATAGTCAATTACAGTCACGCCTTTTGAAAAAGTGGTTACCTACTATAAACAACAAACAAACAGAAGAAAACTACACTTTTACTCTGACCTTCATTTTGCGGGTACAAAAACTATTAGGGATTTCGAATTAATTAATTACTATAACGGTGTAAAAGAAATTACAGATATTTACAAACTAAAGGCTGGAATGCACTACACAACTATTTTAAATCGCTAGGCATCATAAACTTGTCGACTTTGCAAATGTTACAGAGAAAAGCTGGCCCTCATTCACTATGTGAATATTAATCACTATATTAATGACTGAGGGTCAGTCAAGTCGCTCCAAACACAACAAACTCAAGCGTAAACGTGGCTTTTTGCTAGGAGGCATGTGACAAATGAAAATAATGGGATGGAATCATACAAAAATCTGTGCTCATCATAATCTATGTGAGTTTGTCTGTCATCTCTGGCCCAAAATCTGCTGACTGGCTATGACTTTTAGCAACTAACAATGACCCATCCAGACTATAAAGTCGTGTAGTTTATTCCTGCCTTAAATGTAACAAAAACATAATAATTTAATTCTTTGAATTAACAACTATAATAAATATAACCATGATTACATACCAATGAACAGCAGCATTTAAATAAAAACAGCTACAATGGTGTGCAAGGACTTATATTATTTCTTCCAGTGCTTTTACAGACCGATTAGGAGATTTTGATTATCGCCTCATTTTACTCTGCTTTTGTGAGCAATACAATGTGAATAGTGGAGTACTCACCGGAGTGCTGGTCTTGCCCGTGAGAAACACGCGTGCTTTGGCTTTGTTCATGTGGAAGTGTTTGAGGTAGGCTTCATGCATCTGCCTGGCCAGACTCCTCGTGTCCGGCTGCAGAGACTGGTGCTCCTCTTTCCCGCTGACATCCTTCTCTGCTTTCAGCCTCTGCTTCTCTGATTGGGGTATCCGCCCAAAACGGATAGCTGTAAGACACGCGCGCACACACATTACCAATAAAAATAGGTACAACCTCATGCATGCTGCCACAGTCAATGTACAGTATACAAACAAAACAGGAACACACACACACACACGTCTGGTTCACTATCTTTGTAGAGACTCTCCATAGACGTAATGGTTTTTATACTGTACAAACTGTATATTCTATCCCCCTACACCAACCCTACCCCTCAACCTACCCATCACACAAAACTTTATGCAGTTTTACTTTTTAGAAAATAAGCTTGTTAGCAATTTAGGTCCCCACAGTGACACGAGTCCCCATGAGTCTGAGTTCATTCAGGTTGAAGTACCCACCGGGATAGAAAAACATGAACACACACACACAAGTGTAAGGCAGATATACATACATGCTTAACAAAATGTTCGGTAACACTTTATTTTAAGATGACGTAGTTATATGTTACTACATGTACTTACTATAGTAATAACAGTAAATTATGCATAATTACAAGTAACTAACCCTAAACCCAATCCAACCCTAACTCTATAGTAAATTAGTACATGTAGTTCATTAATATTACTCAGTACTTATTTGAGTAAGTACAATGTAACTACGTCACCTTAAAATAAAGTGTAACCAAATGTTCACACTAGGGCTGTTATTTGATTTTTTTTTTTTAAAGGTGATGTGAAATAGGTAAATAAATATGTTGCTTAATTAATTTATTTTGTACGTATCTTTTATTTCCACATCACTGACCTCAGAAGGTAACCCACTTCTAATGTTATTTTTGGAATTCATAAATTGACAAACATTTTTTTTTAGGAAATAAACCCTTCAAATCTGCCTATTCAGTTGGTGTTGTGTAGCTAGATGCCCATTTTCTCCATATTAGACTTTTTCCACCTACAGCTTTCAGTTCTGTGAATGATGGTCCAGCTATGAAATTACAGCTGGATTACATTAGTGAGGAGGACATCTCTGCTAATTTATTATCCACACCAATTTCTAGAATAACTTTTAAAGAAAAGCTGGGGTTATTTGACAATGGAAGACCTACACCAGAGCTTACTTTGGTACAGAAAGCCAAAGCTTTTGAAAGCATTTTAACCCCAGCAAGCTTTATTTGTGAAAACAGTCATTTTGCAGAATTCCTTGTCAATCTGTAAATTGACCATAATGCACATTTGCTGTAATTCTGCATAATAGTTATATTTTCCCAAATAAACCATACGTTTATTACAGTCTGTTACATACGTTTAATCATCTGCTTTGCCAGTCTAATGGTGTTTATTATCAACATTGGTTCCAAAATGCCACGATCGCTGTTCCACTGTCTATGATGTGGAAGTGTCGTTTGTCTCTCTGTTTATCCTGAGGTTACCGTAGTCAGCCGGATCAGGGCCGTATCCAGATCAGATGTAGGACCTGCGCCTAGACACGACCACAACGTAGCCCTGAAGTGTCAGCAGAGATTGTGTCAACTAGACTCTCCCCTGTGAAGGCCTCATTGACACGACAGTTATCGGCACAGATCCTTAACAACAACCCGTATCCATATACCGGCTTGATGAATCCGACCTTCAACCAGATGGAACTGGATTAAATATTTTCAATGTTCCGATCCAATCTGACTTCTGACCTGTAATGCTGCCTGAATCATAATCGTACGTACACTGTTCGTTTGTTGGCCAGTTCCCACCGACTGAGCCTGGTTTCTCCCAAGTTTTTTTTTCTTTTTTTTTCTCTTCTTAGTTGGGGACACTTAATATTCAACAATATTTTTGATCTGCTTGCATTGACACCATTGTATGAGAACTGAACTGAGCTGGACGATGACATCACTGTTTTCTCCAGAGCTGCTGAATAGATATATGAACTAAATTAATAACTAACGATTTTTACAACCGAAATGAATTAACACTGAACTGACTTAAGCTGGACAATGACACTATATTCTTCTAGAGTTGCTGCACAGCCGAAACAAACTTTGTTGCATTATTTTCCTGTTATCACTGTAAAGCTGCTTTGAAACAATCTGCATTGTAAAAAGCGCTATATAAAGAAAGGTGACTTCACTTGAATCCACACACCGATTGTGTGATGATGCAATTACTTGTAATGAGGATTTGCAATGTATAACATGTTGTTTTATTTTAACTTACTGTGCTGAATGTTTGTTGCATTTCTCGTCTAAAGTAACTTATGCACTACTATAGAAGAGGACAGGGTAAGCAAGGCTGGTGTTATGCCGAGTCGCGGTTTCAAGTGTCAGGTTTTGTTTGTGTTGAAATTGCATTTATCAATCGGTCTGAGAAAACCGTAATATCACAGATCGGATGATAAATACCAGAACGGGTCCTTTTTGATTGCTGGTGTATGTGCAGATCCACACTCAAATAGCTCGGGTGGTAGAAAAATCCCCACAGCTCAAATGCGGGTCAAAGGGCACTGATTGCATTAATCTGTTTGCCTTTTATTTATTTATTTTATAATTAATTGCGCCGCGTTAACGTATTGAATCATCAGCTCCAGTTTATACACAAACCACGAGTAGTAGAACTTTAGGTCATTACACTGCTGCCACTTCATCAGTAGCGGGACAAAGGGCAGACATGGGAGGGGGTGTATGGCGTGATATGATACAGATCTACCTCTGAAGGGATTACACTAACAGTGGCACATGACACTAGCCCTCGCTAACAGAAGAGACGACCCTAGATCCAGGTCAAAGTCCCGTGATAGAACGGGACGGCGTGTCTTTCGTGTCACTTAGTTCATCTGCGGTTATCCTGTGATAGCCCTTGGATAGCGTAGATTTGTGCTACCTCATGATGTCAAAGCTAAGAGTGTCTAAAGGTTGTTGTTTTATATTTTGATTCTAATCTAAATTTCCTGACTTTCAAAGAAGCAATTAAAGTACGTGTTCCGAAATATTATTGTAGTAAAACAGAACACCATCTTTGATTACCAATAAAACAATTAAAGATCTTTAATCGTCAAGCCATAAACCGACTCTAATCTATAATCATTTGCTCTTTGTGAAGCTCTTACCGTTGTGGGACATGCCCACTGCAAGGCACTTGCGGAAACGGCAGTATTGACATTTGTTTCTGTTCTTCTTCTGGATCTTGCAGTTGCGTTCGCACTTGTCGTACTCCAGTTTGAGTCGAATGGTTCTCCTGAAGAAGCCCTGTGGAAAATTCATAAAAGACACTTAAAAATGCAAACTGTGAATGATAAAAAAAAAAGTATGATACCAAATTGTACATTTTCATTCTGTAATATACAACCGATTCAAAATGTAAACATAAATATAAGGACTTTACTCCCTAAGGCCCAATGCATAGCGGAACCTCACAAGACGTTATAAAGTGACCTCGATAAACCGAATGCTAATGAGATAAGATGTGTGATAAGATTCACACCGTAACAATATGAACACTGCATATCTATAAACAGATACAGAGTGTGTGCATGTGTGGCAGAATGTCAAAACACTATAACTGTTTATTTTTCAGATAAGGCTACACAATATTTTAGTACCTCCAAAAGGTCTTGGATAGATGCTTGAGAAAAGGTAAATTTTCGAAATGAAAAGGCAAAAAGAATTGTAATGAAGATACAGTGAATGATCTTTGTCATCATTTCATCTGTGGACTGGTATGTGTAGTAAGGGTCACAGTTATAGCCCTTTTGTGCCCCTCCAGGCGAATTATTCAACAGGGAAAAGCAGAACACGTGCCTAACAATGGAAACGGTATCAGATGAGAACTCATGACAGACTGTCACGGATCGCTTCCAGAGCTAAAAACAGAACCGATGACGCATCTCTACACACCAAACATACCAAACGATAAAAGCGGACTGAGGGAACAGCTCGTCACTGTGTTTAGCCTCTGAATACCAACTTTTATAGGACACAGCATTATTTCCTACTGTTCTCAAAAGCTGTGGGAAGTGAAGTTTAAAATATATCTGCACGCTGCAAATGACTCATTTATTCTTCCAGATTTACCGCAAAAGAAAACACAAGCTAAAATGTTAAATGTTTCATGTAGAATTTCTTTTTTCAAAGCAAATGAACCATTAAGAAACACTTTACAATAAGATTCTACACATGAAATAATTAACAATTTTGCAGCTTTTTGAGAATTTTGGTGATTATTCATTTCTCATTACACTAATAGAGTTCTGCAGTGCTGGCGTATTTTTCTAGGACAGTCCGGAGGTTAGAATCACCCTGGTTCCCTCAACAAAAACCCATTAGGTTTTTTTTTCCATTGGCTTTTTGATTATTGCAGAAAATAAGCTCTGTGACCAACAAAAATATATAATCTTACATGTTTTGTTCATCAAGGTAATCTTCACAAATGAAAAACTTCATTTCAAAAATGAAATTCATGACAAAACATGAATTCTGATGCCTACGTAAATACAACTGCCAGAAGTAAAAAGCCAAAGTCAGACAATAAACAAACTACACAATGGTCGCACGACTTCAATGTCACCACCACTAAGCCTCTGACAAATCTTTTAATCTTTATTCAAAATCTACAAGTTGAAAAGTTTTGTTAGCAGCCACCTTTTTCAGGACTTGTAAAAGCCTAATAACACAATGAGTGTGGAATTACTGATATATTTCATGCAGTAGGTAGAATACAATGTGAAAATACCTTGAACTTGTGTTAACCACCTTATTTCAGGTATTTAATCAATAACCCATAAAAAAAAATTATGACTTCAGGACGAGGGAACCAGAAGTGCAAAAAATAACGTCTGAGTTTTAGGACTTAATGCTGCAGCACTCAATACCTGTAACATGTATGCTCTGTTTTTACTTTGTTTCTTTGTGTGTTTGGTTCTGTCCTGTGCGCCCTTAGCCTGGATGCCAGCCGAACTTAGCCCCGCCCACAACATTTGAGGTCGGGAAGTTTGGTCTGGACTTGATCCGTTGTGAAGCAAGTATGCCCGAACCAAAGCTGTTCGGACCAATCAAATTGTCAGGGCGGGCTTTATTCGATGATGGACAGATGATCAACCGTAACGTAATCACCCACGTCGCCAAAGAGCGCTTGGGTTGAATTCGTTTACAACAAAGAATGGCTGCCGCTGGAGAATTGAGATGTGTAGATTCAGCCAATCGCGTCTGTTATAGAAGATCTATCCAGCGCATTCATTTTAAAAGAGGAACAGAGAACCGCGATCAAGGCACTTGTCGATCGGAAAGATGTTTTTGCCTTCCTTCCTACGGGATTCGGTCTATCCAATTGAGTGCAGAGGCATTTTTTATCCTGGTTCAGTTGCACGCCCCATAATCACAGCCCATTGGAGCAGTATCAGACTCACATTCTGACTAGAATCTGAGTATGACGACATCAGGCTAGTGTGCCCTGTCAGTTGACCTAGATTTCCAAGTCTGTGTCTGTTAACTGGCAATTAACTAGCTTATTAGTTCCCTCCCTGTGTGCTTGCAGTCCTTGTACTGTCTTTGTCAATGTTGAGGTGTTGTGAGTATTTTGAATTGACGACGGTTTCCTGGATCATTCCTGCAGTGCGCTTTGTTCAGAACAACTCCCCGTGACGATATCAAGGCATGTTGCAGGAGTCAAGGTTTTACATGTCACTCAAAACAACCTTGCTGCAGAACCGTGAACCCACAAGCAAAGACGGCGGATTTTAAATGTAATCCTTATGGAAGCATCCCCCGTCAGCCGAGCGACAGCTGTTGAGGAGCTTTCTCTAGGTGTTACGCACCTCAAAGTTCTCAAAAGAAGTTTGTTAATATACAGTTGTTTTAGACCAATGAAATGTCAATGTGGGACAAAGCTCAACGCCATGGAAAAACAAACTACGTGACGGACAAAATGTCCCGTCCTTGTTGCAGATTCACTTTGAAGAATAGCTTTTAGCGCTTGTTCCTTTATCATATTGTTCCTAGTTAGGACACTGTGTAAAACTCAAACCATATAATTAACTAACATGAAAATGAGTTAAACCAGAGGTGCATGAAACTTGAAACCAGTGAACTGAACTGAATAATAAACTTAGTCAGTCCACAGAGATCCTGATTATGTATGACTAGTTTCACACAAAATATGTTTTTAATTAGCATTCCATTTTAAAAGTAGCTTAACTACAACTACCATGATTCCTTAAAACAAAACGCATATAACGTATATTTTAAAGTGCAACGTGAAAAAGTGGTAAACTGCATCAGCAATCAACCTTCAGGTGTAATTGTTCCAGTTCAATTGCACCCTGAGGGGTGCCAACGGTCAAAGTCTGCCCTTGCTGGAGAAAAGCACATGGCAATAACTGGGCTGGTGGTAGTTAACTTTAAAGGAAAGAGAACGGCTGTGACCCAGGCTCGAGTCAGCTGGGCTGTGTTGTGCGGAGGTACGCACTAAGTCCTTCTGATTTTGACATGCTCCACATGAAGCAACAGCTCTTGTACACGCTTCACCTCACATGTACGAAGTGGGAAAAAGCCTCGGGGGAACTCTCAGTCTTTTTTTGCAAAAGTAGCTATGAAAATACTCCAAAAACTTGCGTGCTCTCTGTTGACCCTGGTGTGCTCGCTCAAGTGTTTTCTGTCCCAGACAGATTTGTGGTTATGAAAGTGTAACACAGTGTCTGTACTAATGGCAAGCAGGAAAAAGTTGAGGGTGCTTCGATATTGACTCTTGGCCCTCGTGTGAGAATTTTCCACTGTACACTTTGCATGCGCGCTTACCTTACACCCCTCGCAGGCATGCACTCCGTAGTGGAAACCTGAGGCCCGGTCGGCGCAGACGCGGCACTCGAGGGCGAGAGAACCGGATGAGTTCTCGTCCTGACCTGTGCTGGCCGCGAACACTTCTGAGGACGGACTAGATGCCGGGGTTAAGACATCTACAAGACAAACACACATGTGCACAGTCAATATCACAGATTTATACTGACCCAGATGCATTTAAGATGATGTCCTAATTTAGCGCAAATAAAAGTGTGGATATATACTTTTCCTTAATTTTTTTGTTTCATTAATAAATTCATACAGTTGGCACAATTTGTATTTATCTACAAAATGTACAACTTTAATAATATAATACAGCATTTAAGGATAAGCCTTTTGATCAAAATGATGTTAAAATTGTCAAGCATGTCCAAACTTATGTGTGGTTGTTTATATACAATCAAATGAATGCAAATGTTTAATTCTTTAACTTGACAGATTAGGGGTGATTTAAGATTTTTTGGTCCCTTTTGAACATTCTGTTGACTAATGGCGCTTTTCCACTACACAGTACCAGCTCGCCTCGGCTCGGCTCGGCTCGACTCGCCTTTGTTTGGTTTTCCACTGTGTAAAAGTTGTACCTGTACCTGCTTTCGGGTACTTTTTTTCGTACCACCTCCGGCGAGGTTCCAAGCGAGCTGAGGCGAGCTAAGGCGATACTAAAATGTGACGTGAAAACAATGCCGACTGCTGATTGGTCACAGAGAATCTGCGTCATCATTGCACGCGCCAGATGGAGCATTTTAAATAGTTTGGCCAGAGATAGTTACTAAACTTACTACTATTATTATGGCAACTCAGAAGAATATGCCGTGGTCAAACGAGGAGGTGCAGACATTCCTTTGTTTGGTTGCCGAAGAGAGGATCCAGCGAGAGCTTGATGGGGCAACGAGGAACGAAATGCGTCGCTATGACGACCGGGTACTATTTGTGGCGGTACTTTCTGCAATGGAAAACGGAGCGAAAAGCGAGCCGAGTCGAGGCGAGCCAAGGCGAGTCGAGTCGAGCTGGTACTGGTAATGGAAAAGCGCCATAAAAGTAACTTTGCAACTCCATGTCAACAAATTCACATTAGAGTATTTGTAGACTGTCTGCTTAATATATGCTAACTCTTTATTTTGATGCTCCCCAACAGACATTCTAATGACTGTAAGTAACTTTTTTTTTTTATAGACCTGATTGGTTAGGATTATTGTTCGGATTGCGTGTGTCCAAATGCTCTACCTAAGACAGTGGAGTCGTCTACTAATGTGTTGCAGCTCTGGTATTCCAGCACGTGAAAGTTGAAAGTATCGTCGCTGAGAGACTGAGAGATGTCCTCGAGCACCTCCATGTCACCAATGAGTTCTCCACACAGAGGGCTGTCCAGGATTGGATCGCCCAGCGGGGACAAGGGACTGTACAGGCTCGGCATATCTACCATGGCGCTGGACCACGGCAAGCTTTGAATCATTCATCCGTCTGCAAAGACAAAACAACGACAAGAAAAGTGAAGATTGAGTCAAGAAAATATAGTTTCATATTTTACAATCCCTAGATTACACTGGGATTACTGGCCACACCCAGATGACAACAACAACCAGGGATTTCAGACGCTATTGAGTTTAATGCAGGGCTGTGAGGGATAGACTTACAGTCTTTACAATGGCACGCACTGAATAAATGTCCTAGATCACGCAATTTTCATTTGTTTTATGCAGGTTTTTTTACTGAATGAAAGTGTCGAAATGTTGCGAACAATCGTTATGTTGTTGAACATTGCAATCCACTGAACAACCTGTAATTCTATCCCTCACAGTTTTGTTCTCATTATTGTCTAAATTAAATATGGTTCTGCTACCCTGACTAAGGTCCATTGTCATTTGTAAAATATTTACATTAAAATTATTTCAGAGCAACACACAGAAATCAAAGCAGAATTGAAAGTTTAATTAATAAAAAGAAGAAACATTAGCAGTTATTTTGTTATTTTAGACATCAGTTTGGGTGGGACAATAATGGAGACCTAAATATCTACTTGGTATGCAAACTGCAACCTGGTCTCTGTGAAACACTGACTAGAAGAAGTTCCATTCAGAGCAATGCTAGAGAAGTAACGTGTTTAAGAGGGGTTGCCACAGAAACCCCAGGCTCAGTTATCGCAGCGTTTTATTCAGACATGAGGGGAGCGTTTCAAAGGCTTTGGCCTGCTTCATCACAGGAATGTGATCTCATTCGTCCTGCCATGTGAACTTGTCAAAGAGACCCACCAAAGACCAAGTGCTCCCTCGATTGAGGTGATCTCAAGGTTGGGTCAAGGTCAAAAGACCTTCCAGACATAAAAAGGTTCCAGGGCGTTGTTATGTGGTTGCCAAGACGTTTCGAGAGGTTGCAGGGCAGTTATTTGGATGCACTTCATTTGCTTGATAATATCACAAACACTGTGGCCAGACGTTTCAAGTGCATTGCCGGGGAGGAGATAACAATCCTATTCGAAAGAATTAACTACTCAAATGGATTCAGACGCTCTAGAGGGAATTCTTAAGGCAGCTCGAGGGGTCTTGAGGACAACGGTTCAAATGGCATTCCACTCAACCCTTTAATTTCTTACAGCAGTGACATGGAGAAGACTAACCAATGCCAGACTTGGCATTCGAGCACTTTTGCAATGGATCACTATTTTTTTGGAGGAGGAAGTAACAACACACTTTACCTTCAAGCGACAAACACAGCCAATCTAAAATAAACTGCAGGTGCTAAAGAGCTGAAAAAACTGCGCACTAACATCGACTACTGATGGTAGACAAGCTGTTTCTACCACTGTCATAAATCAGTGCTTGGCAGACAAGCCCAGTTTCCAGCTCTGTCTGCGAGGGGAAGCCGGCCAGCTTTCTAAAGTTATACCTGATCTCCCCGTTCTGTAGATTTGCCCGAAGCAGAACAGCACAAATCTTACCCAGCTGTGTGTCTCCAGCTGTTGAGGCTATGTGAAACCTGAGCTGAGCATGATTCTTCAGTCAAGGAACGCACGCAGCGTTCTCTCAGCCGCTGTGCGACAATCATTCCTGATTCTGCCCTTGACACAACATGCACAGACGAGTGCAGTAACAAGCGTTCCTATTGGAGAAACATACAGACCGCTAGAATGACTACATATTAGTTAATACACTGGAAAAAAAGTTGTCCTGTTTTCCAGTAAAAATAAAAACACATGCTTAAATATCCTTAAAACAAGAATCATTTACTGGTTAAAAATTGCATAGGGAATGAGAGGGATTTTTAAGCTTTGGGGGTGGGGGTTATACTTAAAACAAGGAAAAAATAAATTACAAAATAGTAAACTTGTACTTACAAAACTTACAAAAACTTGTAATACTATATGTAATTTTGCTGGTCAAGTAAATTTATATTTTTTATTTATATTTTTCACATGTAAAGTGTGTATTTCTCATACTGGTGAAGGAGAAGGATTATGGCATTTTAGTCAAGAGACTGCAAAAAAAATTTATATCAGTTTTGTGTCTTGTTTTCCAGTAAAAATATATACACGTTTACAATTTGCTTGAGAAGCAAAACTGCATACAATGTTAAGATGAAGATTAATACCACACTGGCAAATAGTTTTTGTCTTGTTTTAAGCTTAAACCTCATACAGGGTTTCTGCAGGTTTGATGAAGGTAAATGTAAGACTTTTTAAAGATCTTTTATGACCAAGGAAAGACAATTAAGGAATAAATTGAAGGAAATGCAATACATCAATGTTCTCTAAATGTCTAGGGAGAAACACAATGAGTTGTATTAGCAACACTTCAAAGTTTGAAAATACAACTTCCAACACATATCCATTACTTTTGTTTAATTCATTTTACAAAAAAAGCTTAAATCACTCCGCTCCCAACCACTAGAATATGGACATACGTTTTACTGTACCTTCTTCAAAAAAAAAAGAGAAGTTTTTCCTCTGTGTTTTTGTCTTGTTTTCTGTGAAACTGATCAAAATGAAGGGGAGTTTCTGATTAAAACAAGAAATATCTGTCAGTGGGGACAGAAAAATCAACAAGTTTTCATAACTCACTGACAGGTATTTGTCCTTAAACTCACTCATAAACTCACACAATTTTTACATTTTGCTTCTCCAGTGAATGTATCTTGATTTAAGAATGTTTAGATATTTTTGTACAGGAAAACAAGACAGAAATACTGAAAAGGAAAATCATTTTTTGCAGAGCATGCAACATTTAATGCCATGAACTTAAGACTTTCGGCTCCGAAACCCTGCAATACTTACATTAAAAAACATTTAAGATACATTTTCAGAGTCTAATATCCAATTTAATTCAAGCTAATTTACTTTTGATTTGTTTTATTTAAATGTATTTTTTATTTATTTTTCAATAGAAACAAGACTAAATCTAGCAGTAATTTCATGGTAAACAAGATTAAGCGCGTAGCATGCATTTGAGTACGTTATTTGCGTATTAGGGTGTGTGAAACAGAGCAATAAGCATAAGCTACTATATTTATTCAGTGTAAACCCAGACACTCACATGGGCACACATGCACATGACTTGAACCTCATGACAACACACGGGAGCCAAATGAAGTGTAGGAGAAATGCCAGTTTCTGCTCTAATGGAAATGTGCCCATGGAGACCAGCTGAGCCATTAACCAGCAAAACCAAACCCCATATCATGCTTCCAAACTACAATATATTCTACACAAATATCTCAATGGATGCACAGGATTCAACACCTCGCTGTCCACAACACATGTTATATCCATTGATGTGGCGCAGATTACGAAACAAGACAACACGTATGAATGCACAAGATGAATCCTCAATGAGTCCTAATAAACAAATGGAACAAGTAATGTTTAACAACTCTGAATCACGGGACAGTTGTACAAATAATACAAAATGAATCAGTATCTTATTTTCCAGTAAAAATATCTGAAAATCCTTAGTAAAATAAGTAAATGTCTGCGAAACCGCTTAATAAAATGATTTTTGCAGTGCAAGGTGTGTGTTTCTGATTCTGTCTGGAGAAGGACACACACAGGCACATCATAGCCTACGTGCTGAGGAGGAGGCGGCCTGTTGTGGAGGGTCACAGCTGACACAAGACTTGGAAACCAATACAGGCTGGCTTACCCCCTCCTTCCTGGTTGATCTTTACCGGCTGTCTGACTTGACCGTGTAGTAACAACAACACAGCAGTTCCTGGGGGTATTTAAGATCCACAAGACGACAATGAATGTACTTTAACCTAGTATACAAAAAACTTGCAGAGAGGCCATATTGATCATGTGTTCCCCATTATTATTTTCACATACTGTATACAGAACCAGCCTTGGACTCACTGCATTAGACAACACACGTAAAGCAAACACTGTTCTGTGTAGAAATTTCCACTACATCAGCCAACAAGCAATGATGAAGCAGAATCTCTGCATGCCCCATAGAGACAGCGGATCTGAAGTATAAAGATTGATCTGTGACAACAGACCATTTGTGAGTTTGTTTTTGAAAGAAATATTGATTGTGGACATGATAAAGCGCACGTATTCCTAGCTTTTCTCAACTGCACGTGCAACTGAACAGTTTGGATGTGGGTCAAGACTATTTGGCAAAAATAAGGACAGGCCAGTTTGCTCAGTGTTGGTAAATAAAGGTTATTTACCAAAAAGAAATCATGACAAGATCCAAAGTGATGTTAAAGGGTCAAAGACATGACAAGTCATATTCAATCCTCAAAAATACATTAAAATGGAACTGAACATTAACTGACTACACCTCTTCTATGATGAGCATGCTTTTAATTTCTTAATTAAAATGATTTGACAAAGTATAAAAATTGTCCTGATATCGTAATGAAGAAAAATCTTCATTAAAATAATTAAATTCTTGAAAAAACCCTGGTTTGACATTATTTATTTATTCATTCATTTATTATTATTATTATAATTAATTCTTTAAAAAATTTTTTTTAATAATTAAAGTTCGATCACCAAGTCAAAGTCATGTGATGCAACTGACATGCAGAAAATATATAAATATATCCTGAAGACCCTCACGATTATGTGTCAAGGTCAATAAGTCTCTTAAAATGTTAGATATTTTTTTTATCTGACATTTTTAAGAGATTTAAAACCTTATTACAAGTTGAATTTAGTTCAGGTTGTAAAATATACGACTCCAAAAATATTATATGAATATTTATGGATTAATAATAATAATAAAACATTTATCTTCAAAAAATATACTTAAAAACCTTTAAAAAAAATGTAATAATGATCAAGATGTGTACACTCACATGTTTTTTGAAACTTGAATAACAAGAACATGCAACGTGTTTTACTACAATTTTAAAATCATTTGTCATTGACTCAAGTATAGCTACAACAAAGCAGCACAAACTTAGGAAAAATTATCATGCTAAAACATCCTTGCTCAGAAATGAGAACATCCCAAACTTCGCTT